ATCCGTCGCGGCAATTTCGGTGCGTGCAGCCGGGGTGAACACATGAACGCCGTCGCTCACCAGCTCAAAGCTCGATATGACGCCTACGTGACCATGGTAGGCGCCGTTTGTGACAAGGATAGCTCGAGTCCTGGATGGTACGTTTTCTCTCGTCGTGCGATAGTGTATAATCCAGGAGCACAGGCCTGGAGACAGCACACCGAAATGAGACGAAGAAGCGCGACCGACTCGATAATTAACACACTGACATCAGGTAAGAGATGACCCATTTTGGGCCTTAGGAACCCCGGAAAGCGCGGTCGTATATCGCTGTCGCCGCGAGGCTACTGGCGTCGCGTCCTGCCGCATAGATGCGGCGTTTGTCGATTGCGGCGTTGTAAGCTCCTGATGCGAAGCGATAATGTGCGACCTGTGATTAGTGCGAAGCCCACTTTGCCTTCAAATGGAATCGACTCACTGCCTTCAGGGGCCAAAATTCAACACCGGCGGCGCTACGTCATGGTACGAGCGCTCGTCCGGCGGCCCATTCCGGACATTGTGAGAGGTCTTAAAACGAACCTTCGCCCCAGTCGTCGGATTTATGACAGGCACAAGGATCCATTTCTTGTCGTTCCCTCCGAAAACGCTGTGTGTTGCACGACACAGGCGCGGAAATTGGTCCCAAAGCGGGATGGCCCTATCAATAGCCTTGAGACTCCAGTCTGCCGCAATCCGGTCGATCATCCGCCCCCGTAGGAAACCACCACGTGACTCGACGCTAAAAGCCACGGCCGCGGGCGATGCATCGAAGAACTCGTCCAGGTCAGCACGGACAACGAGCGCATCCTCGGCGAGCTCGTCCATGAACCTACGACAGCAGCATCGGTGGCGCTTGCACCGCCCAGCACACGGACATGCACGCATTGACTCGCTTCGTCTTGGCTAACGCAGAGAACGACTCCGTGGATAGGACGACATTTGCGTCAAAGGCTGTAGCACCAAGGACCGCCCTTAAAACCGCCGTGGATGCATTCTGCTCGACAGCAAACATGGGCTCTGAGCCGTTATCATGAAGAATAATCCGCGCGCGGCCGGCGACAGTCAGCTCCAAGCCAAGCGCGGAGTACCATCGCAGGAAGTGCGACAGCAACGGTGCATCACGGGCGGAGACCCACGCATAAAAATGTGCGCGACGCAAGACCGAATTCGGCCATCGCCGCGGTGCACCAGACCCAAGCTTCGGACAGGTCACCCGGCCGGACGCAAGTTCCACCAAGATCATGACAAAAGATCCGAAGGAGCGCGGCATTTTTTCGACTAAAGGTAGGACCGAAAACGTTTCGCGCTCCTGGTAAAGCAACCCGGGGTTAATTTTGACCCCCCGAGCTATGGTCACTTTTTTTTTTCACTTTTTTTTTTTTGCGCC